CCCACCCCCTCCAACCCCGTCCCCTCGCCCCTCTTCCCCCAAATCCTCTTCTTCCTCCTCCTCTCGCACTTGTTCGAGGCTTCATTTGCAGCATCTTGGCTTTGAAGATCACAAAAGGCTGAGGCAATAATTGGGTTTGTGCAATTACGACAAGCTTAATGAGAGAATTCGGGAGTTTGTCTTTGCCCCTATCTGCAACTCTCCATTAGGCCAGCGACTGTCTCTGCTCTGTCGACGAAGGAGGATGTTATCGCACACAAAGATGGCGGCAGTGCATTTGTCGCACATATCACTTACAAGGCCTGGATGATGGAGAGAGGAGATATGCTAATTGACCAGCGCAGACTTGCAAATACAAACAAAAAAAACAAACAGAGAGCAGAGAAAGTAAAGAGAAGAAGACAGACAGAAGGCAAGTGATAAGTAGCGTAAACTAATCAAAGTGCTTAGAGGACATTTAGGAGACCAAGAAGACATAATATCTTTATAACACTGTAATGCAGTAGTGAGGCCTCCAATGCAAATGTAGTCAAAATAACTGATTCTGCTTTGAAAGTCCTTTAGTTTCTCTCCAAGTCCAGAATGTCAGAACACCGACGGATGTAGGAGATGTGATCAACAGTTAAGGTAACTGACCTTTAAGAATCATAAACCCTTAGATGACTTAATATCTCCCACACAAGTCCAGACAGCTGCCATCTTTTAGTTTGTTTGCAGGAAGTTTCATTCTGATCACTATACTGTGCACTATGTGATTTCATCAGTGGTGATAATGCATATGGGTCTATAGCTACAACCCAGAGGTTTGCAGTTGCATAGGCCAGCACTGGAGCAGTTGATAGGCACCACCAAAGGCACAGGAGGATCAGTCCGAGTGTACACCAGCACACAGCTCATTGAAAACAAAGTGGGCCCTATGTGACCCACAGTGCAGAAGTAAAAGTGCAAGAGCACAACAGAGGACTTGATCTAAAAGTAGCAGCCACGAGTAGTAGACAACGATCTCGAAGGAGAAGTTCAAGTCAGATGCTGGGTGGCTATGGTTCTGGAGGTAAAGCAGGTCATCTGCTAAATGGAAGCCTGGTTGCTCCAATCTGAATGCCAAAGTATCCATAGGCAAGATGCTATGGATCTGTGTTGCTCCTGATGCATTCATAGGAGTAAGAACGTTCAGTTTTATTTATTTGGGGTCAGAAACAGTCCACTTAATGAGCTCTATATTATAAGGTAAAAACCCTACAATAATACAGAGAAAACCCCGACTATCAGACAACTCCCTATGAGCAAGCACCGGGCAACAGTGGGAAGGAAAAACAGAAAGAAACCTCCAGAAAAACCAGGCTTATCTAGGGGAATCCATCTGCCATCTGTTAGCCATGACTGGGAGAAAGGACAAAGTACTTAGACTTGTGTGAATGAAACATGTTGTCTAAAGCACTTTGGGTGCTCAGGTAGAGTAGTAAAGTGCTAAATAAGACCCAGTCCATTTAAGATTTTTAATTTATTGGTAGAAGCCACTGAATTTTATAATACCGCCTCCTGTAGTTTCACATCCAGCACACAGAAAACATGCAGAAATGTTTTATTTGTTTTGGGTTTTTAATTTATCTGCTGTACCACTGAAGACATCCTCTGTTATGATTACGACCATGTCTTGTCTGTCCATGTCTGTCCCTGCCTTACGTTTCTTATACTCCATTTTCATTTCTGAAATTGCACATCTTCGACTACTTTCACTTTGTTATAGTGACTCTCACCAGAGATGTGAGTGAAGGAGTTGAGGAAGAGACGGGAGTCAAGTCAACTGGCACTTAATATGAGACATCCGTCCTTTGGAGCCTCTTTTTAAAGCGATGTCAGTCAAATATTATATGTGTCACAACTGCATCATAGATTTTTTGGTTGGAGCTCAAACAAAGCACATTACTGCTGGGATTGGTTTACGGGTCACAGGCGAGAGGATGGAGGACAGAGGAGATGAGGAAGCAAATTAGAGAAGTGAGATAACCTTTTCTCTTTTGTTACTGCTTGATGTCACTTTCTGTTTTAACTTGGCAGTGTTGTTTTTATTGGAGAGCTTCCTGTTTTTCTGATTCCCAGACTGTTTTCCCTGTTTCCTATTAGCTACTAATGTGTCAGTTTACCCTCCACCTGCCTGCCTGCTTGTGTCTTGGAGTTGTTCCCAGTTGGTTCCCTTTTGGTTTGCTCTCATTAATTATCACCCATTCGGATCATTGATTTTTCTCTGTTATAAATACTTTGCCTGGACTTTTATTAGACTCATCCTGCTACTTCCCTGCAGGGGCATTAATTGTTTTTTCTCGCCATTCAAGCTCATTATAGTTTCATTTGCTACCTGCCTCCCTATGTCTTTTTTCCTTACGAGTGTAAACCGACACATACAACTGGTTCTGAAGCCTATTCATAGATTAATTCAAATATCCTAGACTAAGCCTAGTTATCTAAAGTAATGGACAGTGCAGAAGAGAGGAAGAGAGTGCAGACAGGGTGGAGACGAGTGTCAGGAGAAAGATGACAACAAGAGTGAAAGGGAAGGTTTACACGATGGTAGTGAGACCCGCTATGATGTATAGTTTGGAGATGGTGGCACTAACAAAAAGCCAGGGGGCCAAGCTAGATGTGGAAGAGTTGATTTTCACTGGGACAGACAAGAGAGGAGAAGAAATGAGTGCATTAAAGAGACAGCTCAGATTGATTGGTTTGGAGACAAAAAAACCAAGACTGAGAGTTTGGACATGTGCAGAGGAGGGATAATGGAATAGTGGACAAAAGATGTTGAAAATGGAGCTGCCAAGCAAGAGGAAAAGATGAAGAGGAAGATTCATAGGGTGAGATGGAGCAAGATGATACCCTGTGAGGGAGCCAAAAGAGTTTTAGGCCTATTTAGACCTCAAGCTGCATCACATTGCGTATGGAGAATAGCTTTGATACTAAACATACACTATATCACCAAATCATTGAATTCAGGTGTTCCAATCATTCCCACAGGCGTATAAACCTTCCAGTCATGAACTGTCCTCGCTACAAAATGTTCCACAGTGGAAGTGATTGGGAATGACAGCATCTCAGCCAGAAGTGGTAGGACAAGTAAAATCACAGAAGCACATAGTGTGCAGAGGTCGCTGACTTTCTGCAGTCAGTCGCTACAGACCTCCAAACTTCCTGTGGCCTTCAGACTAGCTTCATGGAATGGGCTTCCATGGCTGAGCAGCCGCATCCAAGCCTTACCTCACTAAGTGCATTGGAAAGTGATGGATGCAATGGTGTAAAGCAGAGGACTATAGACCAGTGGAGACGTGCTCCCTGGAGCGATGAATCACACTTCTCCTTCAGGCAATCTGAGTTTGGCGGCTGCCAGGAGAATGGTACTCAAGGGGGACTATGGTGTGGGGCTGTTTTTCGGGAGTTGACTCCTTAGTTGAAATGAACTCTTAATGCTTCAGCATTCCAAGAAATGTTGGACAATTTTTTCCAAGCTTTGTGGGAACAGTTTGGAGATGGTCCAACATGACTGTGGACAATTGCACAAAGCAAACTCCATAAAGACATGGATGAGCCAGTTTGGGCTGAACGAACTTGACTGGCTTGCACAGAGTCCTGACCTCAGTCTGACAGAACACTTCTGGGATGAATTCGACTGAAGACTTCAAGCCAGGCTTTCTTGCCTAACTTTAGGGGCTGACATCAAAAATGTGCTTCTGTGAAAATGGTCAAAAGTTCCCATAAACACACTCAGCCGAACAACTGAAGCAGTTGTGGCTGCAAAGGGTGGGCCAACATCATGTGAAAACTAAGAATAGGATGTTACTTAAGTTCATATGTATGTGACGGCAGACCAGCAAATACCTTTGGCTATATACTGTACGTCAGTTTGTTTCTATAACATGTAGGATGTTGAGGTCATCTGTTAAGCATGCACAGGTACATTTCAGTCGAAAACACTGTTTGAGGACAAAATGCACTGTGCTGAGAACTAACAAGGAACTCAAGTAAGGATCACACTCAAGCTCATATCGCTGCTAATAGGCTCATTGCACAGCACAATAACAGAAAGAAGGCAATGCACAACAGCCTCATTAACACAAATCTAGCCTTCAGCAAAGCATATTATGAATCTCTTTAAACCTGCAGTGCTGAGTAGACTTTAAATGTGACCTGATTATAGGCCATGTACAATATTACCAAGTCATTACTCATTACTTAATGAGATATTTCACTTATTATGTACTTACAGCAAAATAATGGAATCGGTGGGTGTATGATAAATAACGACCGACGGGGGTTTGTTCAAAAAAATAACAGTTTAATAGTTTTATCTCAATGACTTACATAATAACCACTCAGATAACCGTTCTGTAATGCAATTATGGAGATGCAAGATAAGTGAATATTTGGAGGGAATATTTGTTTTTAATAGGTCTTGCCTTTCATCAGCCACATTAATCATTTAATTTAGTAACATTTGCATTTATCTGCCTTTTTTCCAGTGAAACCTCTTAGTTGTTGTCTACCAAAAGTGAGTAACTAACAAGCCAGGTCTGTGATAAATTATAACAGTGCTGTCATTTAGCCCAGTAAATCCAGCTCCCACCTTTTATTTTGTAGGATACTGTTCATGTTAGAGTGTTTCGCATTACTGAAGGCTTTATTCAAAGTAATTTAATAATACGTGAGAGAAGAATCCTTGGGGTAAAAGGAGTGTAAAGAACATAAATATTCAATTAGCTGTTACTAAGCTCGAGCAAGCATGTGTGGGAAAACAGTGTCGGCATATGTGTGGGCATCCACCTACCTGTACATCCGTGAGTTCTTTTGTGAGCCGTGATGTCAGCTTCACTGAGTGCTTATCTCGACAGGGGATATGCAAGTTCTAAAACACACAGTTTTAATCATTTTATTGTCTCTGCAAATCAACTTGTTGTAAAATAAGTTTAGAGAAAAGGGTGAACATTAAGTGAGCAGATGGAGTTAACGCAAGAGGCCACAGGGTTCTGGTCACAGGACACCATGAGCCTCATTATTCAAAGCTATCCCTATAAGTATTAAAGTATGCTATTTTCATATTAAACCATTAATCAAATACAGATGGTGGAGCAGGCTTTTTTCTTTACATCATAATTTCTTAAAGGGAAATGTAATCACAAAATGTATATTTCTTTAAGCTGTGATTAAGCAGAATGTGACATGGCAAAACTTTTTGCAAAGTGATGCGTTATATACTCACTGGCCACTTTATTAGATATACTTATTCAACAGCTCATCCCCACATTGACATAAAGCTCAAAGTGAGCATCAGGATGGAGGAAAAAAGGCCATTTAAGGAAATTATTGGTGCGTTTCAGAGAATGCTGATCTACTGGGATTTTTCCACACAACCAACTCTGGGGTTTACAGGAAATCATCTGAAAAAATGAAAATATCCACTGAGCCATAGTTCTCTGGGGGGAAATGCCTTGTTGATGTCAGGGGTTGCAGGTGAATGGTCAGATTGCTTTGAGCTGGTAGGAAGGCAACAGTGACTCAAAAAACTGCTTGTTTGCAAGACCTTGCATGTCGAGCCTTGAACCAGATGCTACAGCAGCAGAAGACCACAGCAGGTGCCAGTCTTATCAGTTAAGAAATTACTGGTGACCGCCCGCAGTGCTGGTCAAGTTACCTGAACATAGTAATTACATAGTGACTAATTACTCATTTCTTTTCCAAGAAAGTAATCCAGTTACTTTGTTCAAATGAAATCAAATTAAAATTTAAACCTATTTCCTGCATATTCCAGCATATAAAATAAAATAATGTTTTGTGTTTACACTCTTTCAAATAGATGCAAGTAAAACACAGCAAACAATAAATAAAATCAAAGATTCAGCAGCACACATTCATGCCTACAGTACCTCTCCCAGGTAGACAATGTGTCCAATAGGGCAGATCATGCAGGCAGTCCCGCTGCCAAACATCTCTTTGACCCGCTGCTGTTTGAGAGCAGAGCATAGCTGGCTCATGGTGAGGTAGCGCTCTGTCACTTTAAACTCACCCTGAAAAAAACAGAACAGCAATCTTTTGAAAATGTGTTCATGCACTGTAACCTTTCAGATATCATTAGCATCTGTTGTACTGCTGTTGTAAAAAGTGTGTTCATCTGTCCATCAAACAATAGAGAGTCAGGCATGCAGCTACTGATATCAAACCAACTTCACAGATTACATGAAATTTTACACAGGAGATCTCTTTTTCTTTTAAAAACATGCACATCTGGACTCTATGTGTGTCTGTTACCCATTTCCTGGTTAGTTCGAGGATGCTCCGTCGAGTAATGCCTGGGAGAATGATGCCATCCAGAGGTGGAGTTGCAAGCTCCTCCTCTATTAGAAAAAGAAAAACATTATTTGATATAATAAAAAATAAA